CCGCGGCGGGCCACAAACTAGCGCGGAAGCCGCGGCGGGCCACAAACGAGCGCGGAAGCCGCGGCGGGCCACAAAGAAAGACAGAGAGAGAGAGTGAGAGAGAGAGAGACTGAGAGAGAGACAGAGATGAAATCTCTGTTCTTGGGAACTGGCCCCTTGTTCCCGAGCAAGTGGCCCTTTGGATATTGATGCATGTAAGGAGATGTGTCCACACTGGAATGGTTTTTGTATATGGGTGTTGGTCTAAATTCCTTCATCCACGATCCATCATTCTTAGCCAACAAACAATACTTTAGCCAAACTTTCACCGTTTCACATGTTATTTTTCACCAAAGAATGTTGTATTTCTGTTTGTCATGCAAATGGTGTGACATATATCAAACTTCTGACCATGTATAGGAAGCAAATAGGTGCATAGACACATGAACATCATACAATGTAAAGCATATCGTGTCATTTGTATCATAGAACTGTATCATAGGCTTACCCATAATCGGCAGAGGGACAGATGTGTCAGGGTGAACGTTCACCTTTCATTAGCTGGACTTTAGCCATTCTTTCACAATTTTCAGGGTAGACTTTTCAGACTTTAGCTAATCTTTCGTCAAAAATACTTTTGCCAACTCAAGAAAAACTTTTGCCAAATGACATTTTAACATGTTCCAGGATCATCATCATCATCATCAACAATCCCTATTAGGACCTTTGGATCATGGACACTTTCATATCCATGGTACTCTGTCATATCGCTGTATGACTCTTTGGGCCTGTAGGCTCAAGTGGAGACTGCATGCCGCGTGTAAAAATTGTAGGCAGCCAAGGTGCCCTGTGACAGTTGTGGTTTTGTCATTTGGGACGACGCTGACTTAGAGTTAAGCTAGCGACTTCATGCACGCACGCACTGCGTGCAGTTTTCATGGAGGCCTAGAGCTGTTCACATGAAGGTACTTGGTGCATTTTCACTTCAGCTGGAATTGCATATTTGTGGGAAGTTTTGGCTTTGGGCATTCATTTGGTCAACTAACATCCCCTGGTGCCATGGTGAAAGATAAATGAAACAAGAAAACCAAGATATAGTTTAGAGTTTAGCGCTATGAATACGTGCTTAAAGATGTAGGTCTGCGATTTTGTTGGCCAAACCCATGTTTTCATCCAGGGGGGGCAGGCCGGGACAACAAATCGCGCAGTTTAAAACTTTACAACTTTTTCCCAACATTGTGCATGAACCATCATTTGCAAAAAAATCAATGAAACAGTTTTCTGTTGAGATGGAACTGCTGTGATGTGAAGTGTTTCTTGCTTTGACCCCTGTTCACTTTTTTGTTTCCACTGTTCACTGTTCCCATGTTTTTTGTTGATCCCTTGGACATTTGATGTGCCGGACTCACGCAATGAATCTTTGATTCTGCGGTGACATTCCATGCAAGCAGTGATATTTTTGGAGATTTTCCACTGGTCATTGTGCTCCACGGGTCATTGTTCACTGCTCCACTGTTGCAAGCTTTGAACATCACAGTGTGTACACATACAAGCATATGTGTACATATGTATGTATATACTTGTTAAAACTATGTTTGTTGGATGTAGGTTTGTCCATATGTGTATGTTTGTAAATGGTGTACGTACTTATCAAAAAGTACATACATGCATCTGTGTGCATGTACGGGAAAGAAATAAAACCAATCTGACAGGACAGTTCAAAAAACCAAAAGAAAGTTTGTTCACAACTTTCTTGCAAATGTTAAACGAGATTGCTCCCCAAAGACTTTTGCTTTGGGCTGGACATTGACTATCTTCACCTCGGAAGTCCCAGTGGCTTTTCAATATTCTAAACCCAGTTGCCATAGGATTTGAAGCCTGATTGGTGATCTTCAGGTTGCAAGTTATAATGGCTACAGGTTTCAACCGTCGCTAATTGTTTTTCTTTTGCAGAGCAATTTCTTACTGCTCAAATGAAGATACATACATAATAGTGAAGAACCTTATTTAAACAACAATGGCGAGTGTCCACTTTCTATCGACGGTGGGAAATAAGGAAGCAAACTCTAATGACTAAAGGGCAGTTTTTGGTGAAAAGAATGAAAGAACAAAGCTTGATGACTAAAGCTGTGGACCAACTGTTTTTGGTGAGGGAAATTACAAAAGTAAAAGCTAATGACTAAAACTGTCGACAAAAGCTTCGGTGAGGGATTTGAAGGCAACAAAATCTGATGACGAAAGTTGTGGACCAAATATTTGGCGAAGGAAATTAAGCAAGCAAAACCAAAGGACAAAAGCTGTGGGCGAAATTTTAAACAGTTTAGTGAAAAAACTATCCCGGCAAGAGAGCCCAAACAGTGTGTGGGAGGTCTACAAGCAGAAAGTGTAGAGATCTAGACGCATTGGGGCCCAAAGAGGCCAGAGAGGTGATGGTGGTGATAAAGGTGGGGATCGTGGTGACGGTGGCGGTGGTGTTGAGTGAGTGAGTGAGTGAGTGAGTGAGTGTGTGAGTGTGTGAGAGTGTGAGTGCGAGTGTGAGTGAGTGAGTGAGAGTGAGAGTGAGAGTGTGACTGAGAGTGAGAATGAGGGGGAGAGGGAGAGGGAGAGGGAGAGGGAGAGGGAGAGGGAGAGGGAGAGCGAGAGCGAGAGCGAGAGTGAGTGAGTGTGAGTGTGAGTGAGAGTGAGAGTGAAGGCGGGTGTGAGTGAGTGTGGGTGAGAGCGAGTGAGTGAGTGAGTGAGTGAGAGCACGAGTGTGAGTGAGAGTGAGTGAGTGAGTGAGAGAGTGAGTGAGAGAGTGAGTGAGTGAGAGCACGAGTGTGAGTGAGAGTGAGTGTGTGAGTGAGTGTGAGTGTGAGTGAGTGGGAGAGTGAGTGAGTGTGAGTGTGAGTGCAAGTGTGAGTGAGAGTGAGAGTGAGAGTGAGTGTGTGAGAGTGAGAGTGGGAGTGAGTGAAAGTCAGTGTGGGAGAGTGAGTGAGAGTGTGAGTGTGAGCGAGAGCGAGAGGGAGAGGGAGAGGGAGTGTGAGAGTGAGAGTGAGAGTGAGTGAGAGAGTGAGAGTGAGAGTGTGAGTGCGTGTGAGTGAGAGTGAAGGTGGGTGTGTGAGTGAGTGTGGGGTGAGTGAGTGCGAGTG